CCACATCACGACAAATAATTAAAATTAAGTAACAATCAGTAAATTAAAAAAATGACCTGCCTCGTAGCAACCCGCCCATTGTATTCACATACTGAGATTCGCTTTGTGTTCCATAAGAAATTTGCATTACACTAAGACCTTTCTAGAATTTTTCTTTTGTTGAGAGAGAGGGAGCTTTCTCCTGAGAAACATTGAGCAGTTTTCTTGAAAATTGCACTTCCCTATCACAGCTAGATCTTCCAGCAAACTAATCATCGGTGGAGGTAAAACTCGATATCCGTCGCCGATCTATACGAGATACGAAAGTTTATCAAAGGCTTTTGAAAACTGGTGGCTAGACTTGTGACGAAATTCCTATCCCGCACACTAAATAACAATTGAAACTTTTTTCAGCTTGGAGGTCTTAAGGGCTGTTTTTCTCTGCCGGATATCTCGAATTTTGAGAAGTCACTCCTCGAATGTATTCTTATCCCAAACTCAGCACCAGTACCAGTTTTGCATTTTAAATTCCAGTTTAAGTATAAGTTGGTTTCAACCATAGATTTCGCCGAGAAATTTTTCTCTTCCCTATGAGAAACTGGTTTACAAGTTGTTCTGCAGCCGATGTTAAAAGGCTCCTTTCGTTAAAGACGCAACGAAGAATTTTAAGTTAATACTTTATGAATTCAAGAAAATTTCCAACGATAGATGACGTAGCTTTTTCAACTGATGTGCATATTTGTTTTTGCAATTTTGATACATATTTCTACTAAAAACACTTCGTAGTAAGCATAAAAGGATTGATAAAAAACAAATACGTCAATAAAGGTCAAAAGTGAATCATCTGCAGAGAAGCGGAGAGAAATAGCTTTTAAGCTATTCATGATTTGTTTCTTTTTGTGCAGATGTGTTCAATCTATGCTTTGGGATTGATAATTCTCTTCCTTTCATGTCAGGAACTTTTTCAGTATTTTTGGGTTGGCCGGGTAAATAAGACATTCAACAAACATTTTGGGTTGGCCCGGGTAAATAAGACATTCAACAAACATTTTGGGTTGGCCGGGTAAATAAGACATTCAACAAACATTTTGGGTTGGGTAAATAAGACATTCAACAAACATTTAAGAATAAGAAGAATGCTGCAGAGTCATTCGCGAACTACTTTGATGCCTGCAATATTCAATGTTCATTAAAATCTGACCAATTAATTTCGTTATCTCTCCCAGTTATGCTCTCAAACTTTCTCCTTTGTAGATTTATATCGACACGTGTGGTTACAGAAGCTGTTGAAATATTACGCACAACTTGAATTT